GAGGAATAGCGCATACCTTCCAAGCCGAAAACAGTTTTGCACTTAGTTCGGTAACTTCTACAGTCTTAGAGCTCTTGGAGATTGTGGTGGAATCTGGTTTAGTTGCTTGAGAACGTAGCAGTTCATGTGTCAGAACAGCCCTTTTTCCTACCTGAGAATATCACACCATAATTGCTACAGTAAAACTCCTCACAGAGTTAAGTGCTGGGAGAGGTTGCTTGGAGAGGTTGCTGTATCCTCACCCTATTAGGGTTTGAAAGCTCAGCTGTGAACAATCTGACCTGACTTTGAAGCTGGCCTTACTCTGAACAGGAGGTTGGGCTAGATGACCTCTGGACCTACCTTCCAACCTCAGCAGCTGGGATACTGCACTGATAAGTGGCTGTGGAGAGCTTGCAAAGGGCAGATGCTTCTTGTGTGGAGAATACTAAGCGTGTGTCTTCTGTGTGTTTTCAAATGTTTGTCCTATCTGCTTATATCCAGGCACTGATTTTTTTTTTCCTGTTGATCTTCATCTGTTCTATTGTGTGAATGATCTCAAGGTCTTAGGAAGTCATGGGGCAACGTTTAAAGTAGTCAAAATACCCAATTTATTTTAACACAAGGAAAAATAAACTTTAAATATCAATGCTACTTTTATTTCTGTACAGGAATTACTTAGTATTTGAATTTATATATATGAAAGAAGATGAGGAGTGGTCTCATATTTTTTACTGTGTAAAGTTTTATTAGTGTTGGTGACTAGCAACCCTTCCCTGTCCTTCCCTACTCCCTCAGAATATTCTCTTAAAGCATATGCTGGGAATACCTAAACCTCTGGTTAGTTGGTCCTATATATGCTCTACAGAAATAGTGAATTGAACTTAAAGCATGAAAAATGCATGGAGGTAAAAATAAATAAATCAGTAGTTCTTCCCGTACAAACAAGAGGAGTGAAAGTGCCAGGACTTCTGACCTCACACAAAACAAATTTGATGGATGACTGTCTGCTTTCAAACCTGCCAGTCCAGTGCTGCCTCTGTGACAGCCTAAGTGTTTTTGTGGAGTGATTCGAGCCATTTGCATTTTATTTATCAGTTGTTCAGTGCCCCTGTCAAAACCCAAGGGTGGAGGTTTTGCCCCAGAAGGCCAGGCTGAGGTGTGGGGGTGTTGTGAGAATGGCCTTCTGCAGTTAAGACCTTTATGCTTGAGAGCTCTGGAGTCGAGATTCCCATGGCAGCCTCCCTGCCATGAGGTGTGTGCACTGGGTAAGTTGATGATATGTTGTCACCAATATACTGCTTTCAGCTTGCATTGTTGTTTTAACAAGTCATCAAGGTGTGACAGTATATGTTGCATATTATAATTGCACTCAGAAGCAGAACCAAGTCAGAAGACTTGTCTAAAAGACAGTGAAAGAAAGATGGACGTTCTTTTCAGTAAGTATGTGCTAGGAATTTATTAGAAGCTATAAAATGCTGAAATATAAGACAAAGGAAAAGTTCAGATTGTTTTAATAATTTAATTTTAAGATAAAGATTTCTGTGGGCTAACTTGAAGCAATAATTCCTGATGATGGAAAGCATGTGAGCTGGAAAGACTGAAGAGCTGAAAATACCACTGCAAGTACCTGGTTATCTGGCTCTCTGAGGATATCCTGTAGAGTACAGAAGAAAATTCTTTGAAGAGCAGTGAAACTCATGAAATCTGGTTTCCTACTAATCTGGGCTCAACATCCCTTTTCTTTTTTTTTTTTACTCCTACTGCCCCCTCCTCAAAAAAAAAACCAACAAACCAGCAAAACCCCCAAACCAACCAACCAACCAACCAAAATTAAAACCAAAACAAAAAAGCAAAACCATCCCAAAACATTCAGCCCAGCCCTGCCATTATGATATAGGAGGAGACTAAGACCATGAAGTTTGCTGGGACAGGAGGGAGCAGGTGTTGTTGGCTCATTTGGATCTAACTTTGTACTGGCTGACTGACTGATTGACCCCACAGAGGAGGTGCACTTTTGTAGCCTCTTGCTCACTGGGGCACTGCATTAAGTTTCTCTTTCTGTTCCACACATAGCTGTGCATTTTCATGAAACCTCTCTCTCCAGTTGGTTCCCAAGAGTTTTTGAGAGGCTGGGAGGAGACACAGGTGCAATCACAAGCCCTTATTCATTAAAAGCTAGACCGAAAAAAACACACTCCAGGCTACCAAAAAATGACCTAGTTAGGATGAGGTGCTGAAGTTTGTGTTGTTTTACACTTTTTAGATACTAAATATTTTGAAGAGGAAAGGTTAAATCATCTCATTGGTCACTTTTCTGCTGTGATCTTCAAGCTCCCTGTCCCACTTCAGGTTTTTCTTTCGGAGCTTAATTTAGATATTGTGCATGCAGTGCTGTTCTGTTTGAGGAACTTCTGTTTTCAGTGCAAATTGTAATTTGATCAAAAAGCTTTGCTGTCCTACAGTAATAACCAAATTAAATTGTATCATCCATTATCCTCTTCTAAGGTACTGTAATGAAAACATCTATTTCTAATAGCTTTTTGCCCTTTTTGAATTTTAAAACTTTGGCAGAAGCTTATTATTGTCAATATACTGAAACTGTCTTGCTAGGTGCCAGATCCCATGGTGCCTGTTGCAATCAAGTTTTTGGGGGTGTTTTCGATTATATAAGAGGTAATTTTTTTCTGTTTTCTTTAAGATGCAAATTTATTTTGAATTTTTATGGAAACTTAATTGCATTTCTAGGTCACAAATTGGTTTTATTCTCAAAGAGCAAATCGTAAATATAGGAGGTAATACAGAATACTCATGCAGATTTCTGGGATGTTTGCCCCATCCACAGTAAGAACAACATCCTTGCTTAAACAAGGAAAGAGCAAAATGCACTTTTGTTTGGGAACCCCCATGCTTTCTAATTCCTGGAATATCTTGGTCGGTAAACTGACTTTTGCTTCCAGTTTCTAACCCTCTGTACTAATGTTAGTATGAGTTAAGCACCAGCAAGTTGTTCTAACCTTTATTGCAGTATACACAGCCTGAAATATTAACTGAGGTCCAGCCTCAGTTCCTTGAATACCACTTGTACTGAGCAAGAGTAGTGACCAAACTGGAGCTCAGTGAGACCAGACTAGAGCAAGCAGTGTCACACATCTGATGGCCAGAACAATCCATTTCTGTTACTCTGCAGGAGGGTACTGGCATATGCTGGCTGCAGGAGAGGGGGGCTGAAAGAATGTAATCAACAGTAGACAGAACCAGCCTTTGGTGGCTGTGCCTCTTTTGATGTGCTTATCTGTCCTGAAGAGTGATTGTCCAAGACTTAGCAGTTTAAAAAGAAATGTAAAAGTCACATTCTTCCACTGCAATGACTTTTCCCAGGGATAAGAAACTGGAGCATAAGAAATATCTAGTGATTAATTAGGCATTAAGATTTAGCTTGCTGAACAAGAACTTGGAGACAAGCTTGATGGCAGCTTGCCATGCCTTTAGGAATCAGAGGCCCCTACCAGAACTGGCCTATCTTGAGTGTTCTAGCCAGGCTTCTCTCCCTGCTCCCTGGAAGTTTGTTATCTTCACTGCCGTAAGTGCACAGTGTCTTACTGAGGTGTGACTTCAAAATTGCTTCTTGTTGGCAGTTTAAAACATGATTATGGGGGTATAATCTGAGCCCTGCTGTTAAAGGTTCCTGAAAAGGAAAAGAAGCCATTGCAGATGATACCCTGTAGTGGTATGGAAACCATAACAGAAAGCTGTTTGCCGAAGGGTGGCAGCTGAAATGTTTGTACTGTCTACGCTTGTGTTTACCACTGATCCCGCATACAGATGTAAGAGCGCGTAACTCATATGCATGAGGGCACAGCTCTGTGCATACAAATCCCTGTGTGCAGTTTGTCACTTCTCCCCACCCCCTTGTGAAATGCAGCTGCTTCATTGTAATAAGGCTGTGATGTTTTTTTAAGCCCAGTTCTCTGTTGTATTTTATGAAAGTACTTAATGAATGGCTTCCTAGTTTTGCTGCATAGGAAAATCTTGGCATTCAGGGTATTGTGGAAGAGCATTCTTCACCAGGCTGGCTACTCTGGTGCTGCACTTGTTCAGCTTTTCTGATCTGACAGAATTATTCATAAAATAAATATAAAACCCAAGGCAGACAAATCTGACTGTTAGGCATATTGCATAGTGCATTTTATTTGTCAGTGTGCTTTCTGGCTGTTCTCTGTGACAAGATATCCAATATGTCAATTCCAAAAGCGGAGTCCTGTGGAGCCCTGTGCAGTTTATTTTGGTATGAAATCTCTCTTGACAGCTGACAGTCCAGCCCCGAGCAGTTTCGTATGTCTGTGAAACTCTCACCTGCTGCTCATTTGGCATTCAGTACTCTTTCTCTGTTGCATATTCTCCTGTCACCCGTGCCTGCCTCCTTGTGACTAATTATTCCATTTCCTTGAAGAAGTCATGCTTTTGGAAGACTTCACATCTCTAATGGTCTTTAGCTTCTTTATGTTTGGAAGAAACTTAATGGGGAAGCAGACATTCAGTAGTTGTGTGACTTAGGAGTTCCTTTGAGGAACTTTGTGCTCTCTTGACTTGCCAGTTCTCCTGTCAGCATCTCTTTTAGTACCTCTTTTTCTGTATTTTTTTGTGGGTCAGAAGCAGGCCATGTCTTGTTTTATTCTGTCATTTTAAGGAAAGTAAAATGTGCTGTTCTTACCAGTCAACATGTTTGAAGTTGGCTTTTGACTTCAAGAGTTGACAGAATGGTGGAGGCCTTGAATATGATTAAAAAAAGATGGAGTTGCAGGGGGGAAAGGGGCATTAGTATCTGTCTACAAATTATAAACTGGGGAACTGAAACCTTTAGAGATTCCTAAACGGCAAGTGCCAAACGAAGCTTTTCCCACAGTCGTGCACAAGAAGCAAAGTCCATGGGAAGTCCGCTCTGTTTCACTGTCACCAGTCTGGATGTTTATGGAGTTGTACTTTTTTCCCCCTCCCTTTCTAATCTCCTTTTCTCTTAGAACTTCAGCAGAGGTTCAAAGCTCATGACTGTGTTCCCTCATGTCCAGCCGTGGATGTTCAGCAGCATCGGTCATGCCTTGGGCGGTCTCTAAAACTGGACTGTTAGCTGCTTTCCTTTCTCATTCATGGTACTTCTCTTAACCTCCATGTCTCTGCCTTGTGTTCTCAACATCAATCTCATTGCTTGTGTGCTGGTTACAATCTTGAGTTGCCTCTTCAGTGTCATCATTATTTGTTGGCTTTTTTTATGCTTGCTGCTGAAACTAGCTCAGGCTTTGCTTATTTCCCTGGTCTGAAATAAGCTGAATTTCCTCATTAATGAGAAGTGTGACGTACTTGCAGTTCAGCACTGATGTTTCAGTTCTTTCAGGTATTGTTCTGTCAAGACATAAGTCTCTGTGGTCTTTGAAGAGCAGACAAGGAACAGAATAACATTCTGAATAAATTCAAATTATGGATCAGAATTTATAGTGGCCTTTCAATTAACACAGAACCTGTTTTTGAGGGGGTTTGGGGAATTGTTTTGGTGGTTTTGAATAAGACTCAGTCATTGGATCTGTGTGCTGAGTTATGAGGATGGTTTTCTTGGGCTCTCTCTGTGTTTGATGGACATACAGAGAGGCTTTCCCTGGGTTGGGGGCAATAAAGTGAGAATTCTTCACTCAACGCCTCTACCCTTGCTCAACTGGTGTTGTAAAAACATGAAATGGTCTCAGGAATGAGTCACAATGATTTTGTCTTTTGTTTCCTGTAAATAACAGCACCAGAAATCAAAGAAACTTCCTTGTCTGTTTGGTGTGCATGGAGAATTCTGTACCAAAAGTTGCATTCTGTACCAGTGCAGAAGTGATCTGCAGGAAAATACATTTTGTTAGAAGTGCATGGTTTTGGGCTTAACAGGGGAAGATAAGAGATCAGAAAAACCGTATGTAAGAGGGTTTGTGTATTTGGAATGTGAGACATTTGACTCCCTTTGCAGTATTGGTGGATATACTTTGGTAATTGGAAAGCGAACTGTGACTCATGTCTTCATTCTGCTTCTTAAAGCTGAATTATAACTGTAGCAGTTGAGGCAACTGTAGAGCAGTGGAATAGGTTTATATCTCAAGTATCAGGTAACATGGAGGCAGAGTTTGCCTTTCTCTTGTAGAGAACCAGGCATTTCTTATACATAAATTGGTGTTGTATCCTCCAACTGTGCTTTCTCCTCCATATGATGAGGTTTATTTAAGAGCACTTGCGCTTGTTTGATTATAAGATCAGCTAGGAAATTATTGAAAACACATTTTAAAACTTCATCTGGGGTATTATTCCTCTGTTGCTGTGCTAATGTTTTGCATGCTGACCTAGATGAAACATCGTCCAAGATAATAAGTACTGTAATTTACTCTTCAACTGGATTAATTATTTCCTCAGCTACCTGTCAGTTGTGCTTAGTCCTGGTAAATTAATCAAATGGCCATGGTATGTATGCTTTTCTCTGCTGTCAGTTAGACTTTCATGACCTGTTCTCTCCATGTGGGGATGTGCAATGAAAAGGTGGGAGCGTGTCTAATAAGTAAAAGCCTGTTGTATTGTTCTATAACAGACTTAAAAGCAGCGTGTCTTACACTCTGTTATTGCATGGGACAGACAGGAAGAGTTGTCAGTGGAGCCTGTATAGGACACTGATGGCTGTGTGCTTTTACAGTACCATTTGAGCAGTATCATGTGTGGTCCCGTACCAGTGCACCTCCTTCACTACACCCCTTGCTGCTTCCTCTCATGATAAAACTTCAGTCTTAAGAAGTACTTTTCAGAGAGAGAAAAAGATGGGGGAAAATCCCTTATTTATTCCTAAAGTGATTCCCATAATTAATGAACACTTTGCTTTCAGGAACAGGTTTTAATTCTTTACCTTCTAGAGCCTTTGAAAACACGTGGAGTGTCATTTGCTATGCTGAATATACTTAGGCAGTTTGTATGTATGTATTATGCTCACATGTGTGGACATGTTCTTAATGCTTTCTGGTTTTATGTAGTCTCTCAGATGCTGTATTTGTTGTATTTAAATGGCAAAGGAGGTCTTCATTTCTCAGTTTTTCTCGCTTTTCATTCACAGAAACTATCTTAGAGCATGGACACCAGTAAGAAATCAGAACCCCCTTTATCTGTAGAAATGGTACAACAAAGGGCCAATCCTGACCGCAGTCCTTCAGCGTCGATTTATGTTCCAGAGCAAGGTGGCTACAAAGAGAAATTTGTAAATGCCGTGGAAGATAAGTATAAATGTGAAAAATGTCGCCTCATCTTATGCAACCCTAAACAGACTGAATGCGGACACAGATTCTGTGAAACCTGCATGAATGCCTTGCTAAGGTATGTTTTTTGTTGTGATGGAACATATTGATACCTTTAAGTGTTGTGAACTACTGAAATTAGTGTGAACACCGTTGTGGCTTTAGGAATATGTTAAACTAACACAGGCTGCTCAAAGCAGCCTCCCGATGTTGCTCACTTGATTATTTGTTATCCATGTCCTGGTGCAAACGTTTATGCTCTGCCCTGGCTTAGGATAAGACAACTAAGCTTTCCATCAATATTGTTTAAACAGTTGTTAAAGGGGTTTAATCCTGCGTAGGATGTGTTTGGTAAGAATTTCATTCTCTGTGGAGGCTAAACAGAGTGGCTATTTCACAAGACTTCGAACATGTTTAGTTTGGTGTTGAATACACGTAGTAAATTGTGTCTTTGTGGAGAAGTGAGCTTGCAGAGGTTCCTTAGTGATGAGACCTAACATGGCTGTGGACCCAGCCTTAGAGTTGGGTGGTGGGACCCCTTGGATAAATGTAACTGCTTGTGGAGCAGTTCCCTCATAACCCTTCCAGCTGTTTGTCCTGGGACTTGTCTGTTTTGTGGATTGCAGGAAGGTCAGAAAGCCTGGCTTCTCTATTACTGAGATGCTTGGGCCAGAGTGCAAAGTGAATGATGTAGAAATGAATGCTGAGAGGTGCAGTCTTTCCCAGTCTAGGTAGAAGTGCAATCATTCAACGAGTATCTAGCTTTTAAGAAGTATTTGTGCATCAGTAGAAGTATATTTCTTTGCCTCTGAACTTTGATGCATTGCTACTGAATGTATTCATCGGTGTGATTTCAAAACCTGGTGTAATGTTTGAAGGCCATTCTGCAAACTTTAATCTCCTGGGGTAAATAAGCAGTGAATATTTTCATTTAGTACTGGGAAAGCAGAAGTACAGAAGAGGTTGGCTCAATGGATGTTGCATACTGGACTGCTAACAGAGAGAAGATTTGACTTTCGGAGTTTTGGTGGTCTCCTGTTTACTTTTTGTGACACTAGGTATTGGTTTATATGTCACTTGGAAATAATGTAATCTGATATCTAATACTTAGACATTCAAGTCAAGACTCCATGCAGCCTGGTGAAAGACTATGAAAGATATTAACAGTATTCTGTCTCTTGATAAAGAGTAGTCTCTGTACTGGGCAAATACAAGGGTCCATAGCTCACCAATCCACTCCTGCAGGTTTTGTGCTACAGCATGTCAAATTTAAAACAAGAACAACCAAAACAAAACAACAACAACAACAAAAACACAAACAAACAAAAACACAAAAAACCACACACACACAAACACCAACCCCCCCCCCCTCAAACAACAAAAAAAATCCCACCAAATCCCACCAACTTTTCTTTTGATACCCAGTGTTAGGTGAGGTGTAATTTGTGTGTAGGAAGTGCAGTTATTTTTTTTCTCAATACGTATTTTTGGAAGACTCTTACATGGTTAATAACAGTGACTGCAAAAAACCCAAATGCCTGCCATGCTTGGATGTGCACAGGTGGACAGAGCAGATCCTTGACAATCTAAGCAGTAACAATTCTGGCATGGCTATAATCTGGGCAATTTTCCTTCCCTGCTGTGAGACATGCACATGTGTTTATTACAGTGCATCAAGAATATGTGCAATTTTACTTTCCTGACTTTCCAACCAGTCTGTTATTGAAAAGGACACGTTCATAAGACCATTGAGTTATTTCATGATAATTTCAGTGCTTGTTGCAAACAAATCCTTTATTAAAATAAAATTTACGTTTCCTTTTTGGGGGGGAAATAAAAAGTATGCCATAAAACTGAAAGCAAAATTGGTTTATGTTTCTGTATTTGGTGCAAAATTTTATTATTCACTGTTGATAGGCTGCTGCACACACGAACACACTGATTATATGCTAGCAGCTTCTGTTCCAGGGTTGTTTGAGGACAAGGAATTGGGAGTTAGTGTGGATAAAGCAGTAAAGATGTCTGCTCAGTATGCAACAGTAGTTTGAAAAAGCAAGTGGGATGCTTGAGTGAATTCAGTAAGAGCAAGGAAAGCATGACATTGTATTAAACACTATATGCCCTCAAGTAGATTAGTTTCCCCTTAACTTGAGCAAAGTATTACAGATATTGAAGCTGCAAGGTAGTTAAGATGCTCAGAAATATGATGAGACACAGAATGGTCAGTTGAAGGAGCAGAAGCCAGCAAGATGATTTGAAATAACCGTACTGATTATAAAAACGTAATTGAACTTTTTCGGCCTTTTACATTGATTTGCACTGCTGCTAGCAGCCATAACTTAGTTAGCCTGTCAATGAGTTGCTTTATGAAAGAATTCACCAAGTTTTTACCTAGTGCTTTTCGTCTCGGTGCTTTTAATGGGAGATCAATCTGACCATCCCCATTTTACATGGGGAAAAGGAGCTATAATGAAACGTAGCAACCTGGCCTAATGAAAGGTGTTCCTGCCCATGGCAAGGGAGTGAAACTAAATGATCTACAGGTTCTTCTCCAACCCAATCCATTCTATGATTCTAGGGGCAACACCTGGCAGGTCAGAGCCAGAAACAGCTGTAGGACTGGATAATTGAACAGAAAGTATTTTGCCTGTTTGCACGGACTGAGAAGTGATGACAGTTGTGGATCAGATGCAGGCTGAAAAAGAGGGCATGAATTTTACCACCTTGAAGAAAACCACTCCACAGTTGGCTGGAGACACTGTGGTGCTCTTATTTCTTTGGGAGTGGCAGATAATGCCCACTGAAAACTCAAGTATTCAAATTTATTGAAATAACATCATGTTTTGTCATTATAACGAACTATGTCCACTTTTAATGATTTTAAAATACATTGAATAATCATAACTAAGTGCCTCGTAAATGGAAATTTTTGTACTACAAAAATTCAGACGAGCTAAAATATTTTTCCTGTTTTCTTTTCAGTTCTTCTAGCCCAAAATGTACAGCATGTCAAGAAAGCATAGCAAAAGATAAGGTATTGTTGAAACTGTTTCTTATTCAAGAGTGTTGAATTGTGTGGCGTATATAAGATGCTATTGCTTTGTGGTAATTAATTATTTCATAAGCCTGATAAACTACCTGAGGAAGACAGCTTTGTTATAAAACCTAAACTATGTATTTTATATTTTGTTATATATTTTTACATATTCCTGTTAACCACATGGTAGAAAACAACAGGTCAGGCTCATTCCAGAAGGTCCAGACAGGTGTCACATACCGTATTCATAGTTGGGAGCTGCAGCAACACATTGCAGTTGTCTTCCCATCAACCAAGAGGATGATAAGAAATATTCCATCTCCTGTAGATGCATAGATGTGACAGGTCTAGATGAACACTGCTCCTGATTTGGCCCCAGATCAGTGTCTACTCTTTGAACTCATCTCTTTTACAGTGTGGTGTTCAATGAACCACACTGGAATTAGGACAGTGTAGAGCTACAGTTAAGGTAATAGAATCAGGTTCTTTTTGTATGAATAAGTCATTTCAATGATATTCTCTTCTCTTTTTCACAGCAAAACTTTCTGTTGCCTTTGAAAGGTTAAGGGTAGAGAAAATTTTTCTTGGCTTAGACATGGTTTATGGGGCTTTACAATATTGAAGTGCTTAGTAAGTTCTCTGTGTTAGTAGCCTTTCTTGCCCATATGAATACTTGTATTAGTAACCATTTTCAAGAAGAGGTTAGTGGGTACATTAATCTCTCCTTGTCTTAACTCAGAATAGCTCTTTAAATAGTACTCATCGTAATTCGGTTTTGACACGGACGGACTCTCCAGGAGCTCAGACCAACAATCATGATGCCTGCTTTATTTGTTCTTTTAAGTCTGACTTTTTAGCTCTCAATATACATAAATATGTATTTTTTTATGAAACTTCAAATATCTCCATAACAGCAGGAGGACAAGGCTAGTGTATGCTAAATACCTGTTAGACTAACTGTGCAAGTCATTGTTTTTCAGACCGGAAACTTTTCCCATAGAATGCTGAAGTCCAAAATCACTGAAAAACTTTGAAAGTTGTCTTCTTAACTTCAGTCAGCGAAACTGTGCATACTAACCCTGTGAATTGCTTTGGAAAAAATTATTGCAGTATAGGCAATTGATTACTTAGATTTGTTGATTCATTAAGCTTCCTATACACATCCGAAAAGTAAACAGAAATCAGTGACCTGTGTCAGATGAGATCAGATGAGAATGACTGCAGTGTTTCCTTATTCTCTGATACTGGGGATAGATTCATAGTCACTGTGGACAAATCTGATCATCATTCTTGGTTAAATGTTAGCATGCAGAACCTTTCTATAATTACAGTAGTGCTGCAGTGTGAAAAGTATCACAGAACTCTGTTTGTCAGAGCAGTCATAGGTTGGGCTTGATTCTTAATGGTATTTTTAATGACTATAAGAGCAGTTGAAAAATAACCAGAAGTTTGTATCTCTTTGGTTTTGGACTTTAAATAGTAGTAATGGTCTTCAGTCCCTCTCTCTCTCTAGTTCCTGCCCTTAGCAATGGGGCTTCTTGGGAGTGTAATTATTGTGTCTTTTATGGGGTGTCACCCATAAAAGGTGTAAAATCCAAACCCCAAAATATTTATTTGTAACTTTGTTTAATTGTAGGCAAAAAATGCTGAAAGTGCTTAGAAACATTAAAATTGAGAGATAGTTAAAGCCTGCTTAGCTGTGAAATAATAAACCTCCTCCAGTCCAAGACCTTAGAAAACATCTGTAATTATGTGTTACTAATGAAGTGTAAGCAAGTGTTCCAGCTAAACACTCTAGTCATTTTAGGGCCACCTTCCCTGAAATCCTTGCCCTCTGAACCACTGGGCTTTGAGTCCCTTTTGCTTTATGGAATTGTGCCTAATACAACAGCTTCCCAAACAATGTAGAGAGTTCTACCTTATGCAGGCCTGTTATTGGCAAGCAAATAGCAACAAATTTAGTCCTTTCCCTTTATTGCATTTACAATAAAACTGAAAGAGTAGTAGAGTATCTGTCCAAATAGTCTGTTTCACTGGGCTGCTTCATAGCAGGGGAACCTCACTGTTGTGCACATTCAAGAAAAACTGAATGGCAGGATCTTATTTCTGGCACATAAAGCTGGAATTAAATGACACTGCTGTAGTTGAATTGCATGGCCTTCACTTTATTTGAACTTGTGTATCCTTGAGTGGTTCTCAATTTCTAAAATAAACCGATTTTTGATTTTTCAGGTATTTAAAGATAATTGTTGCAGGAGAGAACTACTTGCCCTTCAGATATACTGCAGAAATGAAAACAAGGGCTGTAAGGAACAACTGTCTTTGGGTCAATTACTGGTAAGTTAATCTAAGAGTCGTAAGCTTCCTTTTGAATTAAAGAATAAGGGGAAAAACCTTGCAAATTAAAACTCCAGTCAGTTTGTTGACTCGCTCACACTAAGTGGTGAATTTAATTTATAAATGTCATGATAGAATTAAACTGTTTTGAAACTTGGTTTTTTGATGAGCTGTGAGGAATTGTAAAAAATTATGGGATTGCATGACTTTGAGGCTTGGAAATGTAAATGAGAACTGGAGGGAGAACTAAAATCGTGAAGGATCTTAATGTGTACTTTACAAATCTGAGAAATATGATTTCTGTTTTGGTGTGGTTTTATTTTTATTTACTAGTCTTAATCCTCTCATGGAAGTAGTGGTTTGTTTATGTGTGAAATTAAACCTTTGGCTTCTCCACACTTGGGCAGAGTAACTGGTAGCTTTTTTCTGTGAAGGCGTGACAGAGCAGTAATCCAGTAATTTAACAGGTGTAAGGTATGGCTACATGGCAGTTTGCAGGGATATGTGTAGGTTCTTCCTTTGAGCAAGCTAAGGTGCCTAAATCACTTAAAGCAGCATCTGTGTTTATGTGGAATAATATATCTTTAAAAAGAATGCTTACCTTTTTGTTTTTTAATAGCCTGTGTGGAATTTTGGACTGTGTTAGGATGCTTTTAGTGTAGAAGTAGCTCATGTACATCTATAATACAGTGAAATCTGCTAAATAAAGGGACTGTACAGTCAGAAATTATTCCTGAGTGGATTTGTTTGTTTGCTCTTGTGTGATACAATGCACGGAATAACTTCACTTACTTTGGTTCTGAAATTATATAATGTTGGATATCTTTAAAGGATAGACATGTACAAAACTTAGTTGGATTGACATTTTTTTTAAAATCTTTCAGATGCATTTGAGAACTGATTGTCAGTTTGAAGAACTCCCGTGTCCTCGTGCTGATTGCAAAGAAAAAATACTGAGAAAAGACTTGCCAGACCATGTAGAGAAGACCTGTAAATATCGGGAGACAACCTGTAAATACTGTAAAAGCCAAGTCCCAATGATTATGTTGCAGGTGCAGTATTTTCTTGTGTATATAGATCAAGATTCCCTACATTAATGTGGAATAATAACACTTCTTGTCCCTCTCTGTAGCTGCTGAAACAACTTTGGCCTCTCAGCCAGGATTAATAAGTTAAAAAAGAAAATAGACTGACTTTTAAAATACATTTTTTCCCTGTGGAAAAACCCTGCATTGACTAGGAAACACTTTCTTTATTCTGATGTTAAGATACTGCATTTAAAAAAATCAGATCTTCTGCCTAATATTGATACTGAAGTCAATGTTGCTATGCATTTTAGTTTTTTTTTAATTAGATACAAAATGCAACTACCATGATAACAATCAGATGTTGTGCAGGAAAAGCGTAAGCGTTGCAACTGACTGGAGAAATAGCATCTTTCTACCTAATCCTTCTTGGGTACTGTATGATCTGTTATGAGAGGAAGGGAAGAAACAATGTGAAAACAAATTGTGTCTTGGCATAATCAGCAGCTGTACATGGCAGGCCTAGGACGAGTTGCTGCTGTTCTTGGCATCAGAGTAGTCTGCCTGATAAGCAGCATATTGTGAGTCAGAGTTATAGAGCAGAGGCTGAGAAAGTCATGCTTACTTTACACATAGAATTGTAACTTGACTGTGTTTGTGGCATTTCACATTGAAAGGTATTATGCTGAATCTATCTTGCTATAATTTTAGCACTTCTTCAGAATTCTGCTACATAGTTTCTGCAGTTTGATGGTGTTGGATCTCAGACCTTCTCAGTGTAGTAAGATGATGAAAATTTTGTTTTTGTTCTTGTGTACTGTTCATTAGGTGAAGTCTCACGATGAGAAGTGTTCTTTGCTCAGAGATGTTGTTACAAAAAGGTATAGGTAGAATCTCGCCAAGTTCTGATTTAGCTTTGGCTTTCAGTTATTTGAGTGCATACTTACAGGTGCTTATACTTTAATAATTGTGCACTACCTAGAATAGGGTGCCTGAGATGTGAAAATACACAGAAAAAATTAAATTTGCACTGTGTTTATTCTTGCACATTCTGATACCGATGTGAAAGTGTATTTAGTTAGATCATGGATGTTGTTCTTCCAGAATTATCATTAGGCTTGGGAATTGATGTGAGGCAGAGAGTGATATTAAAAATGTGTAGTGTTGTAACAGACAAAATCAGTGAGTATTGAATATGTTTGCAAAGTGGTTTTCCATATCTAAGCAACATGCTCACAGGTTTCTTGTAGGCAGTTTCTTTTTATAGGAGTAATGTAATTAAATTTTTGAGAGTCTGAAATCCTTATACTTTGAGGAACATAGAACTTTTAGTTTAAGAGCTTTCCCTTTAATCAGATGTTGATGGATGTAACACTTACAGAATCTTTGAACTAGTTATAGCTTTCAAGATACTGAGAGGTTGAGGCAAGTTTTAGGTTGTAAGACTTTTAATTCACAGAGAAACAGACATTCATATTGGAAACAAGAATGGCATATTACTCCAGAGTATAGAAAAGAGTGTTTGTAAATAAAGTAATTGTTCTCCAAAACCTTAAGTGGAATTCTGAGCTGCTTTAAGAGGTAATAGGACTGGTTTATGCAGAAAGCCAAAGAGGTTTGCTAACAATGTCGTTTGATGTTGAGATGTCACTCTGTTTATTGTATTTAATTTGGTACCACCATTCACCTACCCTTAAAATTTCTAAACAAATATACATTTGTAAATCAGAACATTTCCAAGCAGTGCTACATGTTCACGTTGGCTTATATGGTACTGTGCATAAAAGGAGGACAGTTTTGCTTCTGTGTTGCTTTAAGGGTGCAGAAAACTCTGCAATTAGATGAATAACAATTGGCTGCTATTTTTGATTGTTTTGCCTAGATTTTTAGAAGTTCACTCATTATAGAAATGCAGATGGGTTTATTTGCTGGGGCCTGATAAAATGTTACCTTGTACTTTAGTAATAAGAAGCAGAAGCTTAATGAAACTGTACATTTGAATCTTACAATCGCATAATGGCTTGGGTTGGGAGGGACTTGAAAGATCATGTAGTTCCAACCCCCTGCCATGGGCAGGGACACCTTATATTAGACCATGTTGCTCAAAACCCCATCCAGCGTGGCCTTGGACAGTTTTAGGGATTGAGCATTCACAACTTATGTGGAAATCTGCTCCATTGCCTCACCAGACTCCCGGTCTAGACCTTCTTCCTAATATCTAATTTACACTTGCCCTCTTTCTGCTTAAAGCCCTTCCCCATGCCCTATCAATACATGGCCTTGTAAAAAGTCCCTCTTTGGCTTTCTGTAGGCCCCTTTAGGTACTGGAAGGCTTCTTCTGACTTCTCATTTGAGTTTCGTCACCTAGTTGACAAAACTGGATTTTTAGAGATGAGCTTGAGTTCATGTCTAGCATTTGTAGCCCAAAATTTTCTCTACTGTAATAATGACTGAAGCTGGCCTCGGTGACTTGAACTGAAAATGGAGATAGAGAAAAAAGGTATGCAAATGGAAACAAAATAATTTTACTGGAGAACGTGTGGTTCATGTCTTCATAGAATCCCATGACCCATGGGGTAGGAAATCCCCATTGTTGGAGGCAGACTCCAGCAAGTTAACAGTGTTACTAGAACTTTCTTAGATTGCATTTGTCTTGCCTGCACGGTCACTCAGTTAAGAGTTAGCTTCTTAACGTCTTTTGTTTTAAACCATCTAAAAGGTGGAGGGCTTTTTTATCACAAACCTGCCTTTTCCATCCTACAACTCCTGACAGATGAATTGGCACATTGTTAAAATGGAAATCAGTAGCTTGAAAGGTGTCTGGATTACTATACTTTTCTGCGTATGATCCACAAAACTACTTGGAAGTGCTTCTCCTGTAAAATTGATACTTAGGCAGTAGTAGCATGATATGGATGTGGAAGGATAGCACTGCTTAGTGCCTCGGCTCCTCGCTGCCAGGCTGGCCACAAAATAGCTGTCCCAGGCAGACCCTGCCAAGGCAATCTGGATTCAGCTCAGTGGCCTGAAATACAGCCTTGCCCACTGGGACAGCCACATGACATTGTCATCTTGCTCCCTTGTCACTGCTCTGGAGCCAGATGTGTTTCTGATGCGGCACTGACTTTTCGGCAAACCCACGACACCTTGATCTGGCATTTGGTTTTATGTGCTTGACTGGGTGAATTTAGCTGGTCAGTAAGGGAGAAGATTCTGCCACTGGACTGAGATTACTCTGGTATATCCTGAAATCATTGGAAAGGCTTCCCTTAGTTTCAGTGAGATGAAACTGGGATGTGGGGTAAAGAGAACTGGAGAGAACGCTGAGAAGTAGCATGAACCAAGAATTAATGTCATAGCTTTTGTCGGTTAGTTTGGGTAGGTTAAAGAAGGGAGTTAGGGAATTAATGTTAGAAGGGAGTATTGCTTTTCTGCTTTTGTAGTTGATAAATCATTGAAGAAGCTTGCAGGGCAGTAGGCTCTTAGAGCCACATGGTTCTGTGTGCTGTCTCCCTTCAGCACAGTTAGGGATGTGTTCAGAACGAGGAGGCCAAGTCCAGCTCTTGACCCTGAGCAGGAGTGGGTCCTTTGGGCCTCTGCTCATCAGAAGAGTACCACTGTCACCCTGACAGAGGGTGTTCTGAGGAGAGGCACTGGCATCACTCCTGGCTGGGTATCCTAGTGGGGAGGGAATGAAGGTAGCTCCTCATCCCCATGCTTTGGGAGGCTTTGGACTACGGAGCAGCTGAGGGTTCCTTGCTCTCTGTCACTGTGATTGTCTGCATGTGCTACACACAGTGAGTGAGTGCGGATGGGGAGGATGGCAGGACAGACTTGTGTCAGAACAGCAGCCTGATGTTCTGTTTTAAAAGCTAGGAGGTAGTATTTTCAAATACTGGCAGACTTATGCCAGAGTTCTGAACCAAGGCCTTTCACATCTCAGAGCTTAGATCTCCTTTATTATCTTGGTTTTGTTTTTTTATTTTTTTACTGGGCAAAAAGGGCATGCAATTTGTTCTTCCTTTTCTACCAGGGTTATAAATCTAGACCTTTGTTTCCTTTGCTGTTCTTAGGTACCAGAAATGAAACGCTGTGTTTCAAGTTGAATGGGATGTGTCACTTGACGAGAAACGAATTTTTCATTTTGTTGAGAAAACTGAGAGGAAATGTAAATTGTTATCTGGGGCCTGACTTTCATCCCTCCCTGTGACGATAGAGTTTGACAACTATGCTGAAGTATCTGTCATCATCTGGGTTCAGATTAAAATACCTGCCCAGAATCATCATAAAATTTCAACATCTCTTTGAACTTCAGGTGTAAAGTAGTGAGGCTTAGTATCAGGTGTTTGGGAATCAAAATTAGAAAAGAATGGGAAGAGGAATACCCATACATAGGCAAGAGATTCTCTGAGAGTGGGCAATACATGTTTCTGAAGAGCTTTTCCATGTGCTGTATACTCTTACTAAAAAGGACACCTATAGTGGTTCTGCTTGCTCTTAAAGATGCCCATTTTAATGAGTAACTCTTGGGGAAGAAAACCTGACTCTTATTACTGTTTCATTGTGCAAAATAAAACCAATAAAATTGTAAGCGAATAGATTTGCTTTGCATGGTAAAACACAAGGAAACCCTTGTTTCCACTTCAGGATATCAACACCTCTGTCGAAAGTATAAACTGATGTTTGAGCGATTGCAGTTCTGTCTAGCCCACTTGGGATAAACACAGAAAAGAATATTGTGGGGTATTTTTAATTATTGTAGAATGCTTTTCTTTGTGGGTAAGTCCTCTCTTAATTAAACAGTAAAAGCTGATTTGTGGTTTGTTTGCTTTCTCCTTTGTAGAAACACGAAGATACAGACTGCCCATGTGTCATGGTTTCATGTCCCCATAAATGTAGTGTTAAAACACTCATGAGGAGCGAGGTAAGAAGTCATGCCCAGTGTTGTGCTGAAAAATTAAATAATTTTTTTAGTAAGATCTCGCAAGAATTTTGCCAGAAGCCATTTCCTTATTAAAATGTGAGATCTAAAGAAAAGCTTTTTCTACCACACAGTTAAGTGTGATAACACTCAAATGATTTTAATGATTTCTTGAAAAACTATTTAAAAATAAACAGTTTCTTAGTTTTGAGTCATTATTACACTTGGCTTGCCCAAGATTAGCGCATGTCTTTCCTGCTTTCATTTTTACTAGCTCTCCCCCTGCCCTTCCCTCATTTTAGCACCGTAGAGCAGCATCTTGGGGTAGTTAGCTTAAAATAAAATAAAAACAGAGAACTAAAATTCAGTGGACATTGACAAGAGTTAGTAAAAACTAGAAAAATCATAGAAATGTGTAATTTCATGGGAAAACTTAAATTATGTTTAAATCTGTTAAATCTGGGGGAAAAAACAGTAACTGATACTTAAAGAAACAGTGTAAGATACTGTTGGAGTTCAATACTCCAAGAGCAGATGCAACAATGCATAAAAATTTCTAATTTATAGAAGCTTGCAATAGTATGTAGACCAGATTAAAAAAATTTAAAACATGGCTTGTTTGAAGAGATCCATGTTCTTGCACGTGAAAAACTAGAAGCAGCATTTGTCAAAATCAATGTACTTAATTTTTTTCCTAAAAGTAGAACAAACTTATCAAAGATAGGGAAGACCTTATTGAAGTCTTCATCACTCTGTAAGGCTCACTTAAGGAAAATAAGGTTTCTGATCTGAGGATGAGCTTTTCTCTTTTTTCTACTACTTACTTCCTGAGTTGGATTCATACCGTTTTTTCAGTGGCACTTGTAAATTATTAATCATGGCATAGTGCACAAGGCACATACGGCTCCTGCCAAAGTCAGATACAGTCTTCTCGTCCGAGATAATGAAATACAAAATATATGACAGATACTGTATTTATTAAGAGAAATGGAACCTCTAAAAAAAAAGAGAAAATATGCATACTGACCAGCCCTCCTAGTGCTTACTTCCAAGTTTAGATCCTGGTTCTGGAGCACTTTAGCGTATTCTTAAACCTTGACTTCAGCAGTTACTTTGAGAAGAAGTGTATCTGAGTGCTTGTAAGAACCAACCCACTAAAGCCTGGGTTGTTACACACACAGTTAGAATTGGGTTCTGAAGCTGTAGGTAGAAACAGAGCTTTAAACAGCTATTTGTGCTGCATCACCTGTTGCTGTATGTTGCTTAATTTTTTTCTGATACTGTGAAAATGTATATGTTACTTAACTGCATGGTTAGGGACAATGAATCTAATGCAGAAAATGGGAAAATGCCTGCCTAACAGTTTGAGAAAATTTTGTAGTGTACAAGCAAATATCTTACTGTAGAATAAAAGATCTTTTTCATGTTTAATTCACAACTCTTTGGCAGACTTACAGTTTTGAGAAGCTGGAAAATGTGGCATTCTTGCAAAACCTGTTAGACCACACATTTCTTTCTTTTTGTTCTTTTTTTTTTTTTTTAACTACATATCTTTTGAAACTATAGTGTGAATTTCTATGGATAGTGTTTAGAAGATAACAGGTGTATATCAGAGATGAGTGACTGTCTTGGCATCAGATTTTAAAGACTATCCTGTCTGTTCCAGAGCTACATGTTCAGAGCAGTGTTGATTCACCACTTCTTCCCAGGGAGGTGGATGAGCTGAGTCATGTGGGGCTTAAGGTGTGGGAATTTCAAATGAGATTTTGAAACCCAAAACAGTGATGCCAGCTGAGGAGCAAGGCTCTAGCTCCTGTCTCCTTTGTGGGAAATACAAACTGCAGACCCTGTTTTTGAAGAGAGAGTGTCTGTTGCACTGTCCTTTCCAAAAATGTCTCTCTGCTCCAACTTTTAGGCAGTTTGCATCCAGCTGCTGCCCTCTGTGCTGCAATGGCTGCTGTCTGTATATATGTATATGCTTCTGTGAATTGGTTTATTTTTAAATGAAAAGTGGTCTGTGCTCATAATAATCCAAGATATTGGACTAAATCTCAATCTGTGAAAAATGCAGGCATTTTACTAATCAGTTTTAATCCCCTGTACTGCATTTTCTAAAAGTTACTTAACTGTACCTATTCTAAAACTCTTTGTCTGTTTCATGCAGTACTTGTTTAGTCTTTTTTTGTGTAATTTAACTGTTAAATTTAGGCACCAAGAATTGCATGTTATGTTTTGAAAAGTTGGTTCCTCATGAAATTAGGATTAGAAAAAAAAAATGTACTTTCCTACAGTGAAACTGATCTTAAGACTTGCTCAGAGCACCAGCAAAGAAAAAAAAAAAAAAAAAAGGAAAAAAATCATGTTGAGAAAAGATTAGTCAAATGAAATCAAATAATTGTAGTGTGTTCTTTTTGTTTGGGTTTTTTTTTCTAATTGGGTTGCCTGTTGAAATAGTCTTTAGCAGAAGTTTCACTGTATTTTAAATGTATCACACTGTATACTGTATTGGCATGTGCGTGTGGTTTACATATGTGTATAGAGAGAATTTGCATTTGAGATCAGACTGGAGAAAATATACACATGTGTACTGTATGTTCTGCAAATGGCACACAATACAAACCTGATAACCTCTGCCCTTTATGTTTTGAGCATTATCATGCAAAAGTCTTTTTGCCAAAACTCACATTTTTTTCCTATTGCAGTTGAATGCACATTTGTCAGAATGTATTAATGCCCCAAGTACCTGTAGTTTTAAGCGTTATGGCTGCACTTTTCAGGTCAGTATATAACAATTATACTTCCCAATTGATGAAAGTCTGCAAATAGAACCTAATTATTTGACATGCAAGTTCTGGACTTCTCTAGTTTTGCTTAAGAAAAAGTCATCCAGTTGCACCAAGTGATTATACAGCAGATGTTTGGTGTTGCATTTTAAAAATAAACAACATGAAAAGCCCACATATTCCTGCAGTGGTTTTTGGAGTTCAGTTATTAGGTATATCTTGTTGATATAGGAAGATGATGCATTTGAAGAACTTGTTAACTTAGCATAAGAGGAAACTCTCTTTAGTTCTTCAGAAGATAGACTAATAATTTCAGTTGTTTCTATGAAAGCATTTTCTTGAGATAAGTATGTTTATATTTTCTCTCATTTGTGTGTCTTAATATTTTTATTAAGGTTAATCATAGGTTAGCACACTTAAAACATGTATTTTTATGTGCATTAATATGTCTGTGTGCACATAGGTGTATAATCAAAGCATGAAATTTATTTTAAAAAAAGTTTTAGATTTTAATCCTGGCAATCCCTGCAATATTAAAAAAAAAAAAAAAGCCAAACCTCAGAGTTTAGTTTCGGTATTATTATTCCAGTCTCTTCCAATATTCTGCTTCCCTAACCATATATCTTGGGGAATTTGGATGCTTATATAACAAAAGAGATTAGTCAGGACATTTCAGAAACCGCTGACAGGAAAAAATGGAGTTTATCTGATAGTGTGATTAATTTCTTAGCCCACGACAATTTAAAGGGACAAGAGCTGTAAGGAGCAACACTTCTCAATAGACTACTTCCTGCAGGTATTTCCAGGTTCTTAAATAATGAGCATTCATCTTTCTAAGTGTTAACAGTAATGCTCTTAGTGGTAGAGCCTAACCCTGCCCACTGTTATGTCGTATGTATTGCCATTCATTTTATGTATGTATATGTGTGCATATATGTACATATATCCACATATATATTTTTAGTATTTTATATAGAGTACATACCTTGAGGATCATTGAAACCCTTTCAGTTGCTTTGCTGCGTATCTACCGTCAAAGCTAATATACTCTTGCCGTGCAAAGCACTTACCGAAGTAGGTGTAATGCAACACGACACAAATGAAGTGATATATGGTCTGCATCTTATGTACTCTGTATATAATCTATGTGTGTTCTGTAAACCTTTTTATATAGTGGTTATTTGTAACAGCATTTATAGGTTGTGCAGAGGCAGCACATCTGAATATCTTAGAACAATCTTGGTAACATCTTAAGATGACAAATTAAGCATTGTAATAACTTTCAGCATAGTTTATAAAGCTGGCAGTTTCCAGTGATGATAATTTTATCTTAAATATTTGTCTTTAATACTCATTTGAGGGGAAAATGTAGCGCTGATGAAGCTGTTCATGAAATAGAACAGAAGTTTTAAATTACATTAAATGGAATTGGACGTTTTAGGTTTTGTATGACTCAGGGGTTTTATTGTGCTTTATTTAGTTCAAAGCTACACAGAAGACTCTAAAATACAATTCATTTTGTAAGTCTCATTCATCTTTATTGTCTCTGAGTTATCAAGCACACTGGATGGAAATACATGGCAGTTGTATAAAACATTTGCTATATGAAATGTATTCCTGACTTTTGTAAGTTCCCAAGTAGATTTCCCTTCTCTCTACAGTTCTGCAACATGCACCAGTGAACCAAAGTATGTAGTGTTGGTTCGATGTCTTGATATACTCTTTCTTTGTAGGTTTAAAAGAACTGGAATTGGCTAAAATGTATAAATTCTTTGTTGTCACAGGGAACAAACCAACAAATTAAAGCACATGAAGCCAGCTCAGCAGTGCAGCATGTTAACTTATTGAAAGAGTGGAGCAATGCTCTAGAAAATAAGGTATATCTTCTACTCACTTCTAATTTTCATTGACTTCTTTGAATCATATAAAAGTACTGGAAGAAGGGCTTTTTTTCTGTTTAACAGCTGTTCAGCAGTACAGCTAAAGCATTAGTAGGCTCCAAAAGCTATCAAGCCATTTGGCATCTGGTACCTTTGTTATATAATAATATGCTGTGAGAAACTTGGCTTCGCAACTCCATGTACGATTTTCCTCATTGGTAACTTAATTAAAACTCTTTCTTTGCATTGATAAACAGTCCAGTATTAAATTTCCTCTCTGTGCTGCTTTCTTACAAAATGGAGTCCAGAAAGCTATGGCAGCACTATGAGCTGTATTTTTGCTACCTCAGCATCTTTTCACAGATAACATTATTAGCAGTACATAATAAACTGGTTATTTATTTCATTTATTTTTGTTCTTGCTCTCCAAACTTAATGACCTGCAAAGGTGAATTAAACATATTGTATCTCATGGGCATGATGATGTCTGCTTTAGTGCTAGACCAGAATGAAGTTCATGTTGCAGTACTTCCTTGGGACTCCTGGTTTTAAATTGTTTGGGATTTGGGAGATGCTGGGAGTCATATCAGTCAGTCTCAGCTACGATCTTGTGAATAATCTGGATGACTTATCCACCTGTTCTGCAAATAAAATTCAAGGCTTTGACTTCAAAATATAAAACTTCAGAACAAATAACGGGTTTCTTAAATCTTTTTGCAGAAGTTGTACATAGACATTAAAATAATGTGTCTGTATTTTTTTTGGGGGGGTGGGAGCGGGGGGGGGGGAAGATCCCAGAATTATCAAACCATTTTACAAATGCAGGCAGAAGAGTCAGGAGCCCCTTCAGATTTTCTGGAATGAGTTGAATAATTAGCAATTCCAGTGTAAGCTGAGTGGCAGTTAGGATAGGCTTGAGAACCTCTGTCATCTCACGGCAGACCACCAGCTGGAGTTCAGCAAACTCTTGTCTAGAAAGCTTATTGCCTTCTTGGGCTACAGTGATCTCTCTGTGTGGGTCTCCAGCAAGGTCCTGCCACCACAGGAAGTGTAGTTTTAAAGCAGGAGTTAACTGGAACAGCATAATACATGTTTTTGTCCCCAACACATTTGTCCCTGAACTGCTTGTTTTTCAACTTGAAGGAACTTGAACTCTTTAGGAAACCACTGAACCTGGGAGAGGTCTGATGTAGGGTTTTTTTAGACAGAATTTTTCTACATGTGTAGGTAGGTCTTAGTTTGACAATCCATAACATTATTTAACTTTGCCTTTACATGTGAAACTTTGTTAATGTAGGAACTGTACATTTTTCGGTTTTAACAGATACAGACTCATATCCTTAGTTCGTTTTTCATTAGTCTGATTAAAATTATACAATTTATTTTACATCATAGGAAAAAACCCACGTTCCCTGTGACTTCCAGAATAGATCATGTTCTGCCTTTTGTCAGTGTCCTGAGAGGTGCTTTGTCATTTAAAAAATGCCCAGCGGTTGTGTTCGTCTCTTACAGAGCAAAGAGAATATACACTTTAATACTCTTTTATGTTCAACTTTTTTTAAACTTTCATTTAGGACATAACTGCTTATCATTGTGTGTCCATTTTTTATTTTTTTTTTTCTTTTCACTTCCTGCTTTGTAGACTTCTTCCTATTCATAATAAAGAGTTGAATCACTGGAAATCCCAAGACAGTGCCAAGTTACCAGAATAGTTAACCACATGTCATATGTCAGTGACTTTATTGTAGGGTAGGGTAACAAAATGATTTGTAACTGCGTTGCTGTGCTCTTCTTTGAGGAAAAAATTAATCAGTGCACTGAAGAACAGCAGTGCAAAGTTAACTTAGCTGATGAGTACCTCAGAAATCTTAGCCCTGCTGAAGTCAGTGGAAGTCTTGTTGGGTTCTGTAGGATCAAGATTTCATTTGAGGTATTCTGTGATACGTATGGAGGGGAAAGGAGAAGTTGCCTTCTCCCAGTCACCTTGTTCTTTAGAACAGTGCAAGTGGAGTATGTAAACTGAAATTCTTCAGAGCTGCAAAGCTTGTGCTAGGTCAGGAGTTTGGTATTGAGTGGTGCTGTTGGCAAAGAGTAGTAAGAGAAGGTCAGATGTTAAATCTTGAATCAAAACTTTGTGGGGCAAATTAAAATTTGGTGCTTTGTTCACTCTGTGATGGGGTAGGCTTGCAGACTGAAGTCCCACGGTCTTGTGATGTTGGAAATAATCAGTTGAACGTAATTTCGTGGCTTCATCACATTCTTAATGAAAACTAGTATAAACTGTTTTTTAATATGAGGCTTTAATATGGGACCAGCTTTAGTATCGTTCCTAGTGGCATAAGGTTTCTTCCATTCTTCTTTAGTAGGCAGTGATAAGCAACAGCTTAATTTGAAAACTATGGAATAACAGCACTTTATCTTAGGAATATTTTAAATATGACAAAGAAGTAAAGGAAGCTGATGCAGTTTGTAAATAGATGCTGTGTTTCATTTACCCTTTTTTTAACTGAAGTTCCACAGACTTATGCCAAAGTTCTAGTTACGAAACTATTTAGTGTTAAATATTTTTTATTCACAAATTACCACCAAACTACAATTGCTGACTTAGCAATGACAGTTCTGTATGATTAAGGACTGCAGGACATAATTCTACTTTTCTGTGTTCTGTAAAACTGTGTGGAAAATCTCAGTACAAGACAGGCCCACATTTTATAACTTATACAAAAATGGAAATGTAATGCTTAGTGACCTAGAGTGTAACTGCCTTGTGATTGGGAGGCTTGGGCAGGAAAGAGTAAGAAAAGGGGGATGTAAAGATCACAATTAACTAAAGAACTCTGATTCATTAAGGAAATGGAGGATGCAAAAAAATGAAGTGTCTACCCAGCAGATCTGAAATACCTGGGAGGCAGAGGTACTAGTTTAAAATTAAACTCGTTCTTGAAAATTTTCTCTAGTACCTAGGCATGCATTCCTTCAGCCTCAGTATGGCTTCTCTTTCTGCACGGCAAAATTAGCCTTGTCTCATTTCTGTTGAGTTTCTTCTGCCAGTTTTTCCATATATAAAATGCAGAACCGATGTGTGTATGTGCACACATACTATATTATACTGCAAAGTAGATACCCACACATATATTATGGTATCTCTGTGTTTTTGGGCCCGTGTTTGATGAACCTCCTGAATGCCTGTGGACTTTGACAGTCTGTTGTCTAGTTCATGCTAGTTTAGAGATGTAATTACTTACCTCTTCAAACAGGCTAGATTCTGCTAGGAATGCAGTGACACATAAGGGATTTGATGGCCATATCTGATTAGAGGGTAGAGTGATGGAATTCTGCAGTGGCAACCACTTCAGAGGTAAAGATGGCTTGACCTCAAACTAGCACCTCTGTCGGGGGCCATGGTGTAGATCTTTTTGAGAACATGAAGGATCCAAGTAATTGGTCTTAATGTGAAATGCTGATCCAGAGTTTCCTGGTCTAAAATGGTGCTGCTTCGTATCCAAATAAAGATCTGTCTGTGGAACTATCTGTGTGGAACTAGTCAGGGTGTGTCCAAAATCACCTTGTGCCAAGTGTTTTGTCTTCTACGCTTTTGCTGCTGAATAATCTTGCCTGGGGACAAATTAGATTTTTTTCAAAAAAGCAACCCCCCACCACAAAGCAGCCCCCTTCTCCAAACCACATTAGTGAACAAGCACTAAGTAGTGGGACGGAAAATATTTACTGTATTACTTTCATCCCCAAAGAGATATATTATATGATATTCCTTTAATGAGGCTCATGTTTTAAAAACAGAATGAGTCACTAATGAATAAATTCATAAAATGTCAATACAGAGAGAGAATATAATTTGCATCCTGTAGTTCTTTGGTCTTTTCTAACTAGTAGGCACCATTGGATTTTCCTTCAAATGCATGGATCCCTTCTGTATTCACTCATTTTGAGAGTTTTCATCACCATCACACTCTTTTAAGCCAAGCCAATCCTATGCAGATGAGGTTTTTCCTTAAATTTGCTGTAAATCAGGATAGATGGCAATAGGTTGGAAGATTAATGTTCCCTACCCAACTACCTTTTCAGGTGCTCAGCTTCTCTCTGGTGTCCCTTCTGTACAGGGCTCGAGTTCTTAACACTGATCTAGAGCGAATTAGGTTGTTCCTTCCAAACTCCAAGCAACTCCCAAGTCAGTTGGTAGAAACCAGGAAACCAAGCCATTAAATAATAAGTGAATAAAGAAAATTATTTAGACACAAGTTCTTCTACTGTTTTTATGTCCCATCCGCACTTTTATAAGCCGAAGTTGTACCAATACCATACTGTGGAAGTGCAAAAGTAGCTACCAAGAAGGTTGGGTTTTATTTATTTATTTGCAAGACATGGAGAGAGACTGTATTAGGATCTCATCCCTTTCATGTGTTTAAGATAGTTTTAAACTAATGAAGTTATAGGTATTTTAATAAACTTTGGCAGGAGTAATTGTAGAATTTTTTCCAGGTGGCCTTGCTCCAGAATGAAAGTTTGGAAAAGAACAAGAGTATACAAACTTTACATAATCAGATTTGTAGCTTTGAAATAGAAATTGAAAGACAGAAGGAAATGCTGCGGAATAATGAATCTAAAATACTTCATTTACAGGTAAGAAATTTAGAATCTCCCCATTAAACAGAAATGGTAGTAGCTTCTGTTCTATGCCTTTATACTTGTAAAGTGAGGTGGTCTAATTAAAAAGGGGGGGAGAGAGTCTACTTGATTACAAAGCCATTCTGATTTATTTTTTTTTCTGGTTCGTTGTGTTTAATGGAGCAAGATACTTCACTAAAACACTGCAATTACCTAGCCTGTTAAAACAAAGAACCGTGTTTAAAAAGTGAAAAGACTGAAAACAGAAATTTTCTCTGAAGAATTATTATTTTAACTTCTAAAAAAAAGCCTGCTTGAGGAACTACTGTCAAACTGGAGGACAAGATTAGCACCTTAAAACTGTCATGGATAATGTATCTTTCTTTTCTACTTGCTTGTATTTTTAAAAAAGTACAAAGCATGAGTGAGATCAGTCTGGTGTGGATTTAATTCAAATGTAACATAATGCATTTGAATACACTTTTTAAAAATCCACGTTTCTGTTGTCCTTCTGAGGAAAATGTATCTAATTATTCCTTTGCCAGTAGGTCTGAGTTTCTTATTCTGTGGTCTGAATGATCTGACCACAAGCCAGCATCAGACTAGAAACCCTCTGGATGCTCTGCCATTGGTGCTCAGCCCAAGCTGAAATTCTTTGCTCAGTAGAGCAGACTTGGAATGTGGGTGCTGGGAATTTGTGTTAGCTTGCATGATACTAACCACAATTAGGGAAACCTCAGGAGATATTCAGCAAGCAGCTGTGGAGGTATCATTTACACATTACTGTAGTATGTCTGCTGCTAGAAAACATGGCTAAAATTCAAAGGGGGTAGCACATTCAGGAGCTCAGAGCCTGGAGACCCTCAATGATGATTTATAAGGAAACTTTCAATTTTGGCAACTGCAACGTTTCTCCTCACAGTACAATATTTCTTTCCATGACCTGCCCACATAGGAACCAGTTTAGCCTGCCTTAGTCATTGTTACTTATCCATTGATGGGATATGGGTTACAGTATTGCATTCTGACACTGGCAAGCCAATCCTTTTATGTACTGATATTGCTGATTGAATCTACCAGGAGGTAAGTTAATTTGTAAGCCTGGAGTTTTTACACATGCTGTCTCAATGGCCAGCGATGAGAGTAGAAATGGAAAAAAACATAGAGCAGAGTTTTTCATTATTGTCTTAAATAACAGACTGCAGTATCTTTGATTTCCTCGAGTTGTAGGTGTTAGCAAAATCAATTTTGAAATGGTTTGTTTACAGAAAAAAAACCAAACAAACTAAAAAACCCCCACTACAAAGCAGCACATTCCAACTGGTGGCTTTTTGGTGGTAATAAGAACTGGAGAGGATGTGTTTTGCTCTTTTTTTTCTCTTTTTTTTCTTTTTTTTCCCCTCCTCTCCTTTACTTCCTTTTGCCAGCTCTTTCAATTCAGTTATTTTAAGCCAAACTGTATTTCAAGGCTGTTTCAACCTGATTCCTTCCACTTAGTGGAATTTCCCGGTTCAGTCAGGCCTGTTAAGGGCATTTTGGAAACACACCCCGATTTGTTTTTTCCTGGACAAAACAATTAGCCTCCTTCTGCTTCCTACCAGGAGTGGAGGGAATTAGTTACCTGTTGTGAGCCATTCTTTTCCTGGGTTGCATTGAGCAGCCATGGTTACACAGGAGCCCCAGACACTGAACTAACCAGTTCAGGTCTGGGCAAGGCATATTTGCTTAGTCCCCCAAGACCTATGCATGCTAGGAGTTTTCTAGTACAGTTTCAGTATTAGCTGTCATGTAGCCTGGGGAGCAGCGGTGTCACTGAGCTCAGCTGGAACCACCTGCACTGTGAGGCGTCTGACACCACCAGTGTTAATGCATCGAGGGTGTCTGGTCACTGGCAGGAACCTCAGCCTTGATGTTTTGTTTTCAGATTAATTTTCTATAAGCTGATCTGTAGGGAAAGTGTTTTTATCAAGGGTATGTGATACTTTTACGACTGCTGTCATGTGGAAAGGAAGCTTCACTTGTAATACTGAGTGTATGGAAGCATATTAGTAAGCCAAGTCTTAAGCTGTGTGTGGACATAAGGTACTGAATGACAAAAGAAACAGTGACCTTATGAACATGAAATGATTTGATCAGTAATATGTTCCTTCAAAGGAGAAGGACATATGATTTGTTTCCTAGGTCAAGTAGCACCTTTTCTAGTCTGTTTTTTAGCTTTACAGTTTTGCTCCATCAATTGCAATGGAAAGGTCCATTAGGAGGAAGAGAACTGCAAATATAACTCTTCAGTTCCTCATGACATTTTCTAAGTTTTTTTAGTAATAATAGTGCTAAAATTCTGGAAGTTGTTAATTAGAAATACCAAACAACACCTAGATGAAAATCAACATCAAGAGGAGCCCTTGATGGTTTGCTAGGCATGTAACTCAGGATTGATGATCTGGAGAGGTCAGTTGCTAGAATAAAAAGTGCATGCAGAAAATTGATATCTACTTGAAAATTTATGAGTACAGTGCGAGACATCTGTGTGCTTTCTAATGGAATAATTAGAGTGAAAATCTCCACTGCTGCATTAAATTCAGATTTAGTACATCAGTATCTCCCAGCATGGGGGAGGTTGACTCCCTGTAGGGTAAAAAGATAGAGATCCCAGTGCTTTTTAAAAATAAAATAGAAGTCTTATATCTGATTATTTTGTATCTCTTGAATTCTCATTCAAGGTACAGGAGATAAAATACTACACATCTGCCAGTATGAAGTAGAAGCAGCTTAACCAGAATTGGTTTTGCATGTACAAAGGTAGAACGTTGCACACAGATGAATGGAGAGAAGTTGATCCCTAATAACAACTTTTAGTAAACTTCTCCCAACAGAAGGATAGCTTACAGTTCCTCTGCATGTTTAGCACTTTACCAGTTCCTGTGAGAATGTGTTTACTCATTTTGTTTGATGCTGTGCTAGTGCACAGAGGTCCCAGCTGGAAATTAGAACATCTCTGCGTGAGGCAGTGTACAAACCCACAGCCGTGTTATTGTTCTTGCCTTGGGGAGAGGGGAAAGACCAGCCTTGGGCATATTTTGAGTTTATGTTTGAATGTTAACTGTGAACTAAGGGCCAAATCTTTTGGCTCTGCTCTTACAACATGCATTCAGGCCATTCAGAGGTGTGTTTCCTTTTGTATATATAGCTAATAGCCCTTGCCTGCTTTATTGTCTGATTATCGTCAGCCCCAGTGAGAGGGTGTGCCTGTGTTGGTAGGTGGTGAGTAGTATGTCCAGGCAAGCTGCTTCATCTATTTACTGGACCCATACCCCTGCATTTATGGCTCAGTGCACAGTTTTCCTTCACAAAGTCATAATTCTGTAAGTGAGATATCTAACTTGTTTTAAAACACCTACAATAGAAATAAGTAGTTAATCTCGAAATATGTTAGATTACTCAGCGGTTTTGAGACACAACAAAATAAGACTCCTAGAGCCGGGTTTTGCTAGCTGCCTCATCAAATTGACAGCCTTCAATTAATCGCCATGGACTTTCAGTGTAACTGAAACCACGTGATTAAAAGCAAATGGCTAAAAGGGGAAATGAAGGTGGCATGAGGCAGAAGGGTTTTCCCCGTCAGTGGGGAACATTGAATCCACATGGCTAACCAGAAGGCAAATGCAAAATAACTTAATTTTCTTGTTTTGTTCTCAACGGCCACTTAATTTTTTTTTAAGAACTGAAAAATCATTTTAACACATATTGGCACTATATGATGAAAAACTATAAAGTTAGGTTTGGAATTTAACTGTAGGTGGTAGCAAAAGTAGTTTCTTGTCTCAAATATTTGTGTTATCATTTGAACTTCACAAGTGATTTTGAGGTTCTGGCTAAAATTCCTGCTAGTCCAAATTAGCTGTGATAATGTGAAGTGCTATGTATTTCTTGCATCAGCTTTGAGGTAGACTGGGAAATATGTTCTTTATATTTGTAATATACTAAGGTGCTTGCAATATCCCTCTTTCAGAGAGATCTGGCCTTTCTGTATATTTTTTCTTGAGTATTGTATTTTATGCCTTTCCAAAACCAACTGGTCTTTTCCCCTTTGTTTTCTTAAAAAAACTCAACCAGCAAGCACCTTCAGGATGCATGGCTTATTCAATTTAGGAAGTAAGGGTGGGAATTTTAAAAGTGCTTTTTGGGGGCAGAAGTGGTCTAGTTGTGTTTAAACTCTCGAGGGCTTCTGCTATGGTTATGGGCACTTCACTTAACTTAGGCTTTGATGACTGATTTATGTGAGCTTGGAGCTTGCACATGTATGTACTCGTGCTCCATGTGTGCCAGAGTAATGATGTTTTCCTGGAGGAGTAAGTTATTTTGCTCACTCACAATGATTAATGTGTGCACATGAGCAGCCACTTGATTCACACCACGGTATGTTGTGCCCATACTTTGTTGCTTGAATACTCTCAAAGGAAACCCAGCAAGTATCAGCCCATAATATCGATCTGGAGACATTCAGAATACTGTTCTTACATTGAAAGGTTTAAAAAAAACCAAAACCACCTACCTTGGACAAGAGCACACTAACATTTCCCCTTTTTTAAAATAAGTCTGTTGTTAATTCTAATAGTGCTCTAATATTAATACCTGTGCAGCACTAAGTATTTTTTAAGTGTTTTATAAATACCTGGGCTATTCCTTTAAATTTTCAAGGTTTGTGTTATTAAAATGTTTTACATAAGCAAAACTTGCTTATATTGGGATTGAATCTTATTATCAGCGTATAATCCTTTTTTAATTTGCATAAATTAATGTCTTTGCATTATTTTAACTCGTGCACTATTATTTTATAAAGCGAGTGATCGACAGCCAAGCAGAGAAACTCAAAGAACTGGACAAAGAAATCCGTCCCTTCCGACAGAACTGGGAGGAGGCCGACAGCATGAAGAGCAGTGTGGAATCCCTCCAGAATAGAGTGACTGAGCTGGAAAGTGTTGATAAAACTGCAGGGCAAGGAGCTCGGAATACAAGTGAGTGCAAGCACAGTGGACTAAAGTACTCAGCAGTGCTGTTGAGAGAAAAATGGTGTCCTTTGAATGGCACTCCCATTGTGGCTTTTATATGGAAACATCAATAATACTGATTCTTCTGATTTTTGAGTAGGAGACTGTATTTCCTTTGTTGATAGTGTGGCATTGCTTCCATGCTGTTTCTTAGGTTTGATTCTTGTTTTTTTTTATTTTGTTTTATTGACCGTTCTCTTGATTACACTGTTAGTTCATTATAAACAGTTTCTCAATCGATCTTTGACAGGTAATAGCTTTCAGCAGCTTCTTTAAATATGGTCTTGGTGTATTGACATCCTGTTTTACTACTCTTCTCCCCCATGAATGGATCAACAGTATGGTTATCCACGTGAAACCACCCATCCTGGTAGCTGCTACAGAGGGGGGTTTGGTCCTAGGAGAACTGTGAGATCTGCTTAAGAAGAAGGTTATTGTTGTGCTTGCTGAATAAAGTAAAAACTGGAGTTTAGCAAGATAGTGTAGATCATATGTAAGTGTTTAAATGACTTTAAGTGACAAAGAACTTAAAAAAACCTGCCTTATGAATTCATCTGCTTCTCAGTATTGTATGTTCGCCAGTTTTACCAGCGTGCAAAGATGAAGACTAACATTTTCACATAGGGGAAAGGGAAAACAGAAAACAGCCCTCCCTATAAACTAAATAAATTGCCATATAATACAGAGCTGAGTTTGAATTTTTTGCTCTTTTATGCTGAACTTTAGGCATGGTAACAGCTCTGCACTTCTAAGACAAGTAGTGCCTGAAAAGAATGTTTTGAGTGATCAGGGGTGCTTCTGAATTTCAGAGGGATTATGTAGGCTGTGTGACTGCTTCCAAGGTCTTCACTGATAAATATCAATATGCAGATAATGCTACTAAGTCTCCTCTCAAAAAATGGAAGCCTCAGTAGTTATATTGTTCAGTGACCAGAAAAAATTTGTTAGGTGTTTGATTATTTGACTTTTGCTGCATGTATGAGTTACGCCCACATTTGTAAAAATCCCAGTTAACCTAGATGCCAGCCAGCAAACTATTGCCTGTGGAGATGGCTTCATCAGTGGCCAAGTGCACTTTGGTTCTTGAGGAGGAAAGTGTTTTCATATACAATAGCAGCACTGGCAGTTTGATTTTTACAGTCTTTAGAAAACAGTGCTTTTCTCACCCCCATCCTTTCTTCTTTCTAACAGGCCTGCTAGAGACACAGCTGAGCAGACACGATCAGATGCTGAGCGTTCATGATATCCGGCTGGCTGACATGGACCTCCGATTCCAAGTTCTAGAAACCGCGAGTTACAACGGAGTGCTGATCTGGAAAATTCGAGATTATAAACGTCGGAAGCAAGAGGCAGTCATGGGGAAGACTCTGTCCTTGTACAGCCAACCCTTTTATACTGGGTACTTTGGCTACAAGATGTGTGCCAGAGTTTACCTTAACGGAGATGGCATGGGAAAGGGGACGCACTTGTCTCTGTTCTTTGTCATAATGCGTGGTGAATACGATGCTTTGCTTCCTTGGCCGTTCAAACAGAAAGTGACTCTCATGCTAATGGATCAGGGACCGTCTCGGCGCCACTTAGGAGATGCTTTCAAGCCAGATCCAAACAGCAGCAGTTTCAAGAAGCCGACTGGAGAAATGAACATTGCGTCTGGCTGCCCGGTCTTTGTGGCTCAAACTGTTCTAGAGAATGGAACGTATATTAAAGATGATACTATTTTTATTAAAGTCATAGTGGATACATCGGATCTACCAGACCCCTGACATACAATGGGGGAGGCAGATTATACAGAAGGCAACTCCGTTTGGGGGTTTTGTATCAGTTTGTCTTCAATCAGAGGTCCTAAAAGCTCACAGAACCACCTTGTGGAACAGACGGAAGAGTTTGAAGGCATAACTGCATAGGGTCCAATTGCGAAAGTAGCAACACATTAAGAAATCATACCATGGTATATTTTTTAATAGAACTAGCAACACTTGAGCTCTGAAGAATCACTTATCCCTCATGAGGATAATGATTATGGTCAGAGAGGATTTTTTTTAACTTATTAACGATCTAGTCAATTGGAGGTGAAAAGACATATACAGTATGTGCTGAATCAGTTACTGACTTTTATTTCTTTTAAGCTAGAATACAAAAAAAACCTTCACACGTGGGCTAGCTGGAAATTGTCAGCATGTTAAAAGAAGAAATGATGAAGTAATGTTGCAATTATGATATTCTTTGAAAAACTGAGGTGCAATCTTGTCTGAAATATAGTATATTGTCTTTTTAAGGCCTCATCTGGTCTCTGTTTTAATAATTACTTTGTCAGAAGATCTTGGAAAAGTATCCATGTCTTCTCAAAAGTATCTGAATCAAAATCATATTTTTATTTAAAGTTCTATTGTTACAGAAAACATTTTATTTTAAAACTGTTGATAGACTGATATTTCTTGGAAGAAAAATAGAAGATATCAAACACTGGTTATCACTTGTGATAGGAAAAAAAAACTATTCAATTCTGTTATTTCTCTTTAGAAATGTAAACCTACAATATATGTCGTAGTTAATGACACTATTTCAAAATTAAGGAAAAATCACTCATGGATGCTGTGCATCATTATCAGATTTATAATTGTTTTCACCCTAAAATAGGGCATTTGTTGAACTTTGGAGTTCTAAACGGAATCCTGTACATTTTTTAAAGTTCTGCCCCATGCTTTCCAATCAAGCTATATATGTTGCACATTATGCTGTCAGCAGTATATAGTATTTTCAGTATTGGGGAGGAGGATTAGTGCTGAAAAAAGCCTCTGTGTTCGTTCTGTACTAGCAACCATTGCTTCAAGACAAACCAGCGATGTCTTAATACAGTGATGGTGGCTTGCATGCATACATGTGCCTTAGATGTGCTGTGCTGCTTATAAACCATAGCTTTTTATTCAGATTAATTCTGATATCTGAAATGGTAGTTTAATTGGACTTCAGGCATAATGTTTAGCCTTGTCTTCAGAGCCCTTAGGTACCCTGTGATGTACAAAACGGAAGCCAAAGCCCGTTCCTTTGGCTTCTGGAGCTTCTATGACTTGGCCATGGTGGAATCCATCTTATTCAGGTGCCAAAACGTTATGCTCAGTGCTCCTATGGAGCTTGGACTAGACAGTCTCCACGGCCACTGTGAAGGCAGGCGACATTTTTCCTCTAATGCCTGTGGTTGTAAGGTGGCATCACTTGAAATGAACCCATCTGAGAACTCTGGGGCTGTGAACATCGATGCTCGTGACAGCTTCTCATAGCAGACAAGCATCCTAATGGGGAACGCACGGGCTTCCTTTGTGTAACAGCCTGAACTGTAGTGGAAAGCATTTGCTTGCCCTGAAACATGCTGATTGCAACCTGCTGTGTTCATCTGCTTCTATTTAATAGCCTGTGACAAGCGAGTCTAGAGACACAGCCTGACTGTGGTGCTCTTTAAAACCCACAAACTGCTTAAGCAGAGTGGACTTGCACCACCATGTTTTCAGCCTTCATGGGCTTAGACGAAAACATTGCATCTCAGCCTCTACTGTGTCAGGTTGTATCAGTTTTCTGCTTTATTGAGGCATAGTCGCAATTTTTGTCTAAGGTGCAGAGTTGAATTCATGCCTTTGTATTTCAGCTTGTCTTTGCCGTTGTCTTTTTTGGCTGTGCCTTCACACACAGTGCCTGCAAGAAGTATTTATGGATATACAATGCATGCTAAGTGGTCTTCATGGGTTTTCCAGGCACCTGCTAGAATACTGCCTGCTGCTGACCGTCCAGGCTGTCAGCAGCAACTCGTCTTCCTTTTCTTGCCTTCCATTGTCCGGGTACTGTACTCCCTTTATGGTACGTAGCTGTCAACAGGTGCAAGCTCAAATATGGAGGCACGTGCTGGCGTTTCATTTCTAGCACGGAAGGAAGGAGGATGTTCTGCACAAGAGATAAATATCTATAGATATACCCACATCTATATCTCTAGATATAATTGTATGGCACTTGCAGTTTTATGCAGGCTGCATAAGCAAACCCATCACTTACGCTTTAGGGCGAAGGTTCGCTCAACTTGTGTCATTTTAATAATTGTGAATGTAGGCAGCTGAGCTTTTGTGTTTGTGCATCACAGAATTTTACTGAAAACAGGATTCCCAAGTGGAAATGTCCAAAGGACTCTCCTCCCATTGCTAATGCATGTCTTGTAAACTTAAATGAAACCGTTTGGCCATCTCAAAACAGTTTATATCCTGTTTCGATCTGGGACTTGGAGGAGATTTCTAGTATAAGCAGGGCCCAGAATATTCTGCAGATTTGTGACTACAGTTTCCAACTCCTGTGACAGAATTGCGCTTCTAAATCCAGGCTCTTTTAAAAGAGGAGGAAAAAAGCGTTTCCAGCCTTGGTGATTGAAAGAGGACTTTGAAACATGCGAATGTGTAAACCAGTAGGGAAGTCTTCCTGAGTCTGCACACAGCCTAAACTAGTAGCTTTAAGAGATCTGAATATCTCGTCTTGGTGGGATATTGACTCAGAAACTTCATAGAGAAGTTTAAATACGAACACTGCTAACTATCTTAATGCCGATCACTGTAGCAGAAACATCAGTCACTGTTGTATTTCACAGATCTCTATGCTGCTTTCCACATCTCCCAAGTGCCAAAAGCACCAGCTGCCAGAATCTTCAGCTTCACTTGGGCAGCTTTTATAATGCAGTAATGTGCTATCGATACAAAAATATTTTTGCATATATGCTTTTTATCACAGTTAATAAAATGGAGGCCTACTGCACTTATTTTTTAAAACTACATGAAGCTGCCAGAGAATTTCCAGTTTGCCAACCCTGCGTACTGTGAAATCCAGGATCTTGCTACACAAATGTAGACACCGCCTGCTGTGGAATACCTGAAGCCTTGACTGTAACACCCCTTTCTCCGCAGAACTCGTGGGCCATCTCTGTAGAGTTCTTACTGTGTACATAGAAATCGGTTTCCTCTGCTTTCCAGCAAGGAGTATGTAGCATTTTGTGAAAACAAGGCCACTGTATATTCTCTAAGTTGAAAGGAAAAGATATCTGGTGCTTTATTCAACACTTTAAATTATTTAACTGTTTCCCTCATTGCTGAAATGCCCTTTTATCCTTTTCCTCTTTGTTCTTGACTAAGGTATCCAAAGTTTTCTAGGGGCTGTCTGTTTAAAGTGATTCTTGGGGCAACAGCCTGTCCCCATGTATACTCTTGAATCCTGGCTAACTCCTGGAGTGTGCCATTATTGCAAGGGGGTCCCAGAGTATTTGCATTACTTTGAACAGAGTTTCTTCAATGGAACCCTTTTGTCCTCTGCTTAGTAATTCTTAGCAGCACACAACTGAAGTCTCTTGCTGGTATTCTTTCTCCACGATGATGCTCGAAGTTACATTCTCTAGGGAGATTGCAGTGTGTGACAATCTGGATGTTGCCCTTTTTGTACACTCTTCAGCACAGGGTGAGTGCATCTGTTACCTAGAAAGTCTTGAATTCTAAACAGGATGAAACTATTTGGGTGTTTAAAGACCAACCTGCGATTATGATGCAGGACCATGCCTGCATTACTTCTCTGAACTAATTAATTGGGGTCTTGTTTCAGTTACTGTCTACATGGTACACCTTCAACTGCTGACTTACAATATGCAATGTTGATTTCAGCCTTGTACTGTAAATGTTGTTCTTCACAAAGAGAATGTGCAATAGGAGAAGGGAATGGTGGGTGGCATAATTTCGATGGAAAAAACATGCTAGCTTTCTTAAAATTATGAAAAAAACATGAAATGCAGCTTATTTCCTTTTCCTGTGGTGTTTTCTACTTGGAAAAGGAAAGATGAAGATATGTGCCTGTTTCTGTGCCTGGTGAACTTCTCAAATGCAAAGGTAATAGAGATTTGTGTTAGCTGGAATTTAAGTGCTGAACCCATCTTAGGTTGTGATTGTATTGCTCCTGTTTCCTCAGCTGGCCACAATTATGGCTTGTTGAGGTGGGAGCTTAAAAGCTACCACCTATTTGTATCTATGTTCCATCACCTGGGATAGGCATTTCACCAATAGTGCAGGGTTTCTGTTGATATTTTGTTTAGTTTTTAAAACACTGGTGCTGTTTAGTCCAAGACAGAGAAGCGTGTAGGGAGTGACAGAAATGTTGCCTGCACTGTAGAAGAGTGAAAAACGTGAGTGCAGTATTGATGCCTTGATATAACTATGCAAATATACAAATAGGTGAAGGGGGGGAAATTCTTGGGTTGCATACCTAATCTCTTAGTTTTTGCTCTGTAAATTACTTGTGTGTGTGTAGGTACATGCATAAACACACGGACATGCACGCACATGTATATGCAAAGTCTTTTCTTTATGTAGAAGTGATGAAACAAAACCCTTTCCTCCAAGTTTTACTTGGTCACTTGGTGCAAATATAACTTGCTGCTGCTAAGGGAGGATCTTGGCTAATGGCAAACTTTGGTTTCTTATCTTTCAGGTTTGAAGACCTGTATGTAGCAAAAACTGTTTAGCCTTTCTGAAGACCTTGAAATATAATTAAGGATGTATGTTCTTCCTCATGCTCCGATAATTTGGAGATTCCTGTATTTTAAACAACCATAGTGATGGGCAACTTTTTAATTGCAAATTCTTTTCTTTAATTTAGAAACAAAAGATGATAAAAAGCAGCTGGACCTCTTCCTGGAATTCCTATCCCGTTCAGTCAATACCTTGATATTCTGGTTGACCTAGAAGTCATAGCTGCTGCAATAAAAATGATTGGTTTGGCAATTTAATCTGTCTGAGAATAGTTTTTAATACTGTGTACAGTGTATAGCAAGTGCTACTTGTCTTTTCTGGAAAAAAGGAAATCAAGCATGAGATGTGAAGTGACTTGTCCAGAGTCACAAAAGGAATCTCCTGGAGCCGGGACTGAATGAGAGGTTCCAGTTCCCTAGTGTTATCTCCAAATCACTAGGGTTTACTTTTTTGATACATTTCTCCCTTAAAGGAACCGAAAAACAAGTTAACATACACTGAAGACCCACATCAGGACAGTAAGGGCTAGAATTAAACATACAAGCTGTCATGATTTGGGGTTGTGCATGTGTGGTGGCCCAGACAAGGGTTGCTCCTTAGGCAGTGCTTTGACAGCCTGCAGAGTGGAAGGCCAGCACAGCATATCAGTGTGAATAATAGCAGCAAATGTGTGTCCTACTCTGTTTGTTCAGAATCACCTAACAAAACAAGTCTTGTTTGATGCTCCTCTTAACTGAGGAGGGAGAATACCATTTTACAGTGAAGTGGGTTCATCTTTGTTCTACCAGTCAGTGTGACTGACCATTTCTTTCTTGTGGGGCTTTCTCCCTTTTTCTGTAAACCAAAATCTAGAGGGCTTAATTGTTCTTTCCTGCCTCTTAATCCAGGCCTTTGCTGAGAAGCACCAGATGGGAAGGTGATGGAAAACTTGGGACTGTTGATTCAGGGACATCCTCTTAAGATTTAGAAGAGTAGAGATATACAACACATAAGGGATCTGACTATTCCTGTTTCTCTTCTAATTTATGGTCAAGACTGCAGCTTCTGTCTTCCATTTCATGATGTCAGTGTAGATACTAGGCTGTGTTTTTTCAGTTTTTTTCCCTCCAAGTTAGGATTAGTTCCTTAGGGTTCAAATAAGTTCTAAATTTCACAGAGAAGCACCTGAACCAAAACCTTGGATCCAAACATCCCAGACTTTACGTGGAATTCAAATCTGGATCCCAACTCTGTGGCTTACTAACCTACCCGTTTGGGGAAGGGTTTGTTGTCTCTATGTGGTGTTCGTGTTCTTGGTCCTTTGGAACTAAGCTTTTAATTTGGTTGCCAGTTCTGCAAGGACTTTTTAACTTCTTAGGAATGCCGGTGTTCACACGCTCCATTGCTGGCAGTGTGATGCGTAGTGATAAAATTTGACTCTGTCTAAGGGTTACTGAGATAAACCAGCATTATCATTCGTAAGGGTCATTTTCTTGCGTAGTGTTCCGAGCTTTGTATTTGAATATAGCTCGCACCTGAAAGGACACGTGTTCCAACTATGACCTGCATCACTGGCAGAGAGTTGTGTAATCTGTACTTGTGGAATGGGAAGGTACAAGCTTCCATCGTTGCTGATGCATCGTGTAATCCACCTGTTTTGTTTTTCTTATAGCTGTTGTTTGGTTCGGTTTGTTTGTGGGTTTTTTTTCAGTTTTATAGAAACAAATATGGGGACGTTCAGGATTTTTTCTACAAAGTATAAAACTCCAATGAATTAGTGGTGACTAGAGAGCTGTGAAAAATACCCTATTAGGAGATGATGGGCTAAATGTAGGTCCGTTTCTCTTAGACAAGTAGGATAACCATTAAGATGCATGGAACAATATAATAATCAGGAAAACTAAAGCTGAAATTTGTTTCCAAGAAATTCTGTAAGAACTATCTATGGAAAAGACATCAGTGATTGAGAATAATGTACAAATTAATGTGTTTGAAACTTGTGTATCCATTTCTTTAATCTCATACTCTTCAGTGAACGGTACACTTGTGTTCAGTTTTATGATCAAAAACAAAGACCAAAGAAGGCCAGCCTCATTTGATTGTGTATATTCTGCCTGTCTTAATTATCAATAGCTGTAAGGATACAGTGCAAGTGATCTGGTAACCAGTGGTTCTCGTCCTTTTCTTTTAGGGGGGAAAACAACTTTAAAATGTATAATTTATTGCTCAGCAATAACCATGTTGTTAAAATAATAAAAAAAAAAGGAATTAGCAACATGTCTTAATTTCCCAATAGCATTATTATATGTTGTATTTCAGTTTACTGTATATTGTGTTTTTGTATTTATTTGTGTTTGGAGGTCTTGCTATGTCTTTTTGTGTTTAAATGCTAATAAACAAGGACAGTGTGTAAGAGTGTAGAATGCCGAACTCTGAAATGCTAAACTGTGTTATTAAAGGAAAAATAAATAAGTAGGAAATCATATTTTTTAAAAAAAAACCTGGTGTGTTGAATTTGAATGACTGCTGTGGACTTGCAGATGGCCAAGGCACATCCTTTCTCCTCTGTGAGCCCGCTGTGCGTTGGCTGTTCCGTGCTTTGTGCTTACGCACCCAACAGACCTTTTCTGTGGCATTTCCTGTGCTCTGTACAGGTAACTTGCCATAACTTCTATCAGAGTCCTATTTTCCAGGTGCTAACTCTGCTAGAATAAACTAGGTGCTGGTGTTCATCCTAACATCAGTGTCAAGTGCAAATAGAGTAGAAATAATTGAAATGGCTTTTCATGCATCTGTGGTACACTGGTTTCCCAAAGAGGCGTGGGAGAGTCGAAGCATGTCTTGAATATCTGAAGATATAGATTTATTATTTTTTCTTTTCCAGTATCATTAGTGACTCCTCTCAACTCAGAAGTGCATTTCAGGGGTGTGTTTGAAATCACAGAACATGATGCAGTCTGTAAAAACAACACACTGTTCTGAAATGAGTGGAGCAACAAAATATTTCCATCATGTTTCAGATTCAGCCTAGTGATGAAAACCCTGAGCCCCAGGGGTGGCGAATGAAGCATAACACTTCTACTGAGCGCCACACTGTCCTTCTGTTTCTTCTTCCCTACTGTCCCTCCCACCCCTTTCTTACGGAAATTTCAATTTCCCATCTTTTACGTTACTGCAGGAGTAATACTGGGTTCAGCAATGCAGGAATGTCCTGTCTTTGCTCAGAGACAAGACTGCAGTATCCTGGCGAAAGCTGCTGCTGTGCTGCAGGCACCCAAATGTGAGTATGACCTGGCCAGCCCATACTGGTGCTTGCAGCAGGTAGTCTGAAAGTGCTGGGTGGCCACGTGCCCTTCCTTGATAAAATGGAGATGCCAGAGAAAAGACAAATGCAGGAAGGTGGGCATGGCGAGAGGAGAAGGTGGCACGCCATCCTCACTGTGTGCAGGATGTGCTGAGGTGGATGTTCCTTTCTGCTACTAAGAGCAGTCACTACATGACTTTCGGGATGCTCTGGCATCTGCTGCCCTGCTCATGACACTTTCCACTCCTCCTCCCACGGTTGGCACTCCAGGCTGTGCTGCCTGAAGCTCTTCACATCTCCTTCCTGTGGAGCGTGAAGGGGCGGTAGAATTCCTTGTTGTCTTAATAAAGTGGGTTACCTTCCAGCAGAGTTCTCTTGAGGAAGAGCATCCTGTGCTATCCCCAGGGCTGCTCCTCCTCCCAAACTGGGGAGCGTGATGCTGCTCAGACATGACATTTTTGTCATTACATCACTGCAGCAGGATATGCAGGGAGGAAACAAATTGCTTTGAACATGAAGGCAAACACCAAAATTGTCTCCTCGCCTCCCTGCTCCTCCTTCCCCAGCAAAGAATCATAATTGAAATGACACATTGAGACCCTTCCAGGTCCCAACAAGTCTTTATGAAGTCTTTATGACTGTCAGCTTTGTGGTGTGCTTTTCCCTCGTGGGCAACATGGTATTTATGGTGACAGGAGCAGAGCGCCAGCTCTGGGAGTGCCAGTGCGAGCAGCCAGGAGAGTGGGGTGAGCAGCACTCCTGGGATACAGAAAGTGTTGGCAGAAACAAACACTGCCTGAGCCTGGACCTGCTGCTGGGGCCATCTTTTGCAAGAACTGCAGGAGTGAAGTTAGAAATTTTTGAGGAAGTTTTCCAGAGTTCAAGCCTTTGGTTTGCTTGCTGTCCAGTAAGAAGAAGTCAGAGGTTTTGAAAATGCTCAGTCCTGCATATGGACCTATGTCCTGCTTTCTGCCTGCTTCAATGTGACCAAGTCCTGGGTTCAGTGATAAAAACGAGTGGTGAAAGAGATGATTTCCCCCATCCTTCCCCAAAGCCAGTTTTCCATGAGTCAGTTGTGTGGTTCCTTCCTGCGTGCCTGGATTGAGCCCTGGAGGCTGTCACTGTCTAGTAATGCATCTGGCTTGCCCTTGTTTGGCCCAAAGAGGTGATAACCTGAGTGTCTTCCTTTGACCTCCTTGGAAAATGTGTCACCTGGGGAGGCTGAGCCCACTCACATATTTGCTCCTTTGGGTTAGGTTCTGGCAGCGAACGTTGGATCTCAGTGCATGCTCTTGTGTGTCTTGTAGGCTCCCAAGAATGGGGAATGGCCCACACTGGGAGCTGAATTCCCACTGTCTGGCTGGTAAACACAGAAGAGACCTCAGGAACTGACTTCCACCCCACAGGCTGCACCTTGGCTTAAGCGATGTTTGAGCACAGCTGGCGGTGCCGGTTGCAGCGGGTGGAAATGTGTGTTTTGGCAGCACCGCAGTGTGACTGGAGGCAGGAGCTCTTTGCAGACTGGATTTCTACCAGATATTTCTACCTGGCTGGTGGAAATGGCCTCAGCCTCAGCATACCCTTCACCATCAGGTGAGGCATGAACCTGTGCCCAGTCCTGATGCTTTTAGCAGGTGTCCCTGGGGTAGGTAGTGATGGCTGATAAGAGGCATTCGAGGATAAAAACAAATCTCCACAAGCACACGGTTGGATGGAATGGGCTGGTTCCAGTGTGCAGTGTGGTGTGGGCTCAGGGCTGTGAGCTGCTTGCTCACATCCCTCCATCTGCACAGATCTCACTCCATAGCTGCTCCTCGAGGCCACCCCTAGCAGAAAGCTCTTGTTTCCCTGCTTCATGCTACACGATAAGAAGTGAGTCAGTGTGATAGTTCTGAGATCAAATGTGATCCCCTCCAGTGACTTCTCCTGCCTTGCTGCCCCGAGGGGAAGGTGACTGTGTGGCTGCTGGAGGCCTCTAAGCACTGGCGTGGAGCTCCAAAGAGAGTTTAACAACTCCACAGACTGACTCTTCAGCTCCCGTGATCAGCCCTGAAGTGAGGCCGTGCCTCTCCTGGCAGCACACACAGCTCCTCTGGCATTGGTTCTGGCAGTATAGACTGTGCTGTTGCACACGAAACTTTATCATTTATTTTTTTAAAATTAAAGGAAATCCCACAGGGGGATTTTCACTGATTGCTGCCAAAGCACTGCCTGCTTTGAGGGCAGCCATGAGATACAACAGCTAGAAGGGCTGTCACCTGCCAGGACACTTCTCCCCTTTTATTTCAGATTAGCTTCATGTTCAAACCTTAAGCAATGTCATACTGTGCCAAGGAAACTGGCAAACACTGTGTGCCTGGGTACAGCCCAGCCCCTGTAGGGGAGGTACCTTTGGCACCTGGGGTTTAGAGCCAGTTTTTGGTGTGCCTGTCCTCTCCCCTCTGAGCCACAGCCTGTAATATGGTTATTCACCATGCAATAATTTTCCCATGCACTTAATGACATTCTGGGGATGGTGCCATTGCTGCCTGGCTGTTTGGAGGGCTGCAGGTAGCATGTGTGTGTGGTGGGTGATCACCCACCTTGGGGACTGGTGCTCAAAGCCATTGCTGCTTCATGCTCAGCCCTGGGCTCTCTTTCCAGATGCAAAGTGCCAAGGCTGAGGGCTCATATCTTGTGTTGCAAGCTACAGATGTTTTAAGTAGTAAGAAGAGATGCAGCTGTGCAAGAGGGAAGTTCCAAGAGGTGCTGGATGTCCCTGACGGGCTTTAGAAGGTGGCTTTGCAGTCTGGCTGTGGGGAACAGCGTTTCTGACTTTGATACTCAGTGCTGGGAAGGTCAAGCATCCACTGTATGCTGTTTCCCCTCTGTGGTGGCAATGTGCTCACCCCAGGGGCATTGCAGGCATCCAGCACCAGAGAGCAGAAGGACAGGTGGGCAGCAAGGAGTAAAATGTGCTGATCTCTGCATTAGGGCAGCTGGTTTGATTTCTGGGGACTGCTTTCTCCTTCTTTTCTTTCATCTTTGTTTCACTCTGCCTGTAACTGCCTGATGCAAACCTCACTCCTGTGCAGCCTTCAGTTGTGCCTGCCTGGTCCTGAGGCACAGCAGCAGCATCTTGGGATGGCTGCAGTGACAAAAGCTGGGATGGAGAGGAGTGTGCTGTGGCCTTGGGGAGAGACCTGCAGCAAGGGCTGGGTTATTCTGTCCTCTTGCTCACAGCAGTAATGCTGCAGTGAGCAGCTGGCTCCTGTAATACAAGTTTTGCTGGGATTTCTGTCATTGCCCTGCCCTGTCCTATCCTAATGCTGGAGCAGGGGGAGCAGGGACTGTCCATCCTCGAGCAGGATTTCACAAGCCCTTGGATGAATTAATGGCAAATTGGGGATTTTATACCTCTGCCTCCTTGTCAGATGAATCCTGGCTCACTGAAAATCAAGTATCAGCTTTGCTGGGACCTGAGCTGCCGAACAAGCAGCGTGGAGAAGCAGCAGCTGCAGGGTACAAAAAGTAAAACTAAGGGCGTGGAGCACCCTGGGTTTCAGGGGCTGTGGCACCGCTCTCTGCAAAGGGTCCCCTGAGAGATTGCTCCCCTTTTGCCCAACCTGGCCATGCTGAAGGATGCTGAGGCCATGGACAAGCATGCACCTGGCCCTCTGCACACTCCAGTCCTTTCTTCAAGCTGTTGCTGCTGAGTAGCCATGATTTATATTTTTCCCTTCTCTATTAAAATACAGGGCATCTCACCGCAGCCAGCATTCACCCCGAGAGTCCCCTGGGAGAGATTTGTGAGTGGTAATTAGAGTGCAGGAGCCTTTCACCTCGAGGACATCTCTCAGTATTGAGCTCCCTGAACAGAAAGTGCTGACTGTGTTTTGGCTGATGCCCAGGCTTAGAGCTGCTGCTCAGGAGTTTTTTCTCTTGGCAGTTCGTGGTCCACACTTGTGACTCCAGTGGGGACACAGCTTTGGACAAGGGCACCTCCACGTTCCTTCACAGGGCACGGTGCATCATCTGGGACTGCACTGGGACCTCCTGGGGACAGGAGCCCCATGGCTCTTCTCACTCCTGTGCTTGCAGCAGAGCTGGGAATCAAGTGGGTGAAGGTTTTGGGAGATG